TGTTTCCAGATCTTAGCTATTGTAAATAGTGCTGCTACAAACATGGAGGTACATATATTCTTTCTGATTGGTGTTTCAGGCTTCTTAGGGTATATTCCTAGAAGTGGGATCACTGGGTCAAATGGCAATTCAATTTTTAATTTTTTGAGGTAACACCATAGTGTTTTCCATAGTGGCTGCACCAGTCTTCATTCCCACCAGGAATGTATTAGAGTCCCCTTTTCTCCACACCCTCGCCAACACTTGTTTGATGATTTGTTAATGGTGGCCATTCTGACAGGTGTGAGGTGATATCTCTTTGTTGTTTTATTTGCATCTCTCTGATGATTAGTGATGTTGAGCATTTCTTCATATGTCTCAGCCATTTGTATGTCCGGTTTGGAGAGGTGTCTATTTAGCTCCTCTGCCCATTTTTTAATTGGGTTCTTTGTCTTCCTTTTGTTGAGTTGGATGAGTACTCTACATATTTTGGAACTTAACCCCTTATCTGATGTATCACTGAAAATTATGCTCTCCCATAGAGTGGGTTGCCTTTCCATTTTGACGGTTGCTTCTTTTGCTGTGCAGAAGCTTTTGAGTTTGATATAGTCCCATGTGTTCAGTTTTTCCTTTATTTCTATTGCCTTAGGTGATGTATCAGTGACAATTCTGCTGTGTATGATGTCTGGAATTTTGTTGCCTACATTTTCTCCTAGGATTTTTATGGATTCATGCGTCACATTTAAGTCTTTTATCCATTTTGAGTATATTCTTGTGTATGGTGCAAGTTGATGGTCTAGTTTCATTTTTTTGTATATAGCTGTCCAATTTTTCCAACACTATTTATTAAAGAAGCTGTCTTTACTCCATTGTATGCTCTTGCCTCCTTTGTCAAATATTAATTGAGCATAATGTCTTGAGTCCATTTCTGGGTTCCCTGTTCTGTTCCACTGATCTATATGCCTGTTCTTAGGCCAGTACCAGGCTGTTTTGATTACAGTAGCTTTGTAGTATAACCTGATATCCGGTATTGTGGTCCCACCTACTTTGTCCTTCTTTTTCAAGATTGCTGTGGCTATTGGGGGTCTTTTTTTATTCCATATGAACTTTTGAAGTATTTGTTCTAGTTCTGTGAAATAAGTCGTTGGTATTTTGATGGGGATTGCATTCAATATATAGATTGCTTTGTGTAGTATGGACATTTTAATGATGTTAATTCTTTCAATTTATGAACAAGGTATGTGCTTCCACTTTTCTTTATATCTTCCTCTATTTCTTTTTTCAATGTCCAGTAGTTTTCTGCAAATAGGTCCTTTACTTCTTTGGTTAAGTTTATTCCTAGGTATCTTCATTTTTTTTTTTGCCACGATGGTAAATGGGATTGTTTTTTCAGTTTCTCTTTCTGTGAGTTCATCATTGGTATATACATATGCCATCAATTTCTTGACGTTAATTTTGTATCTTGCTACTTTGCCAAGTTCATTTATTAAGTCTAGTAACTTTTTGATGGAGCCTTTGGGGTTTTCTAGGTGTAGTATCATGTCATCTGTGAATAATGCCAGTTTCACTTCCTCCTTTCCAATTTGAATTCCTTTTATTTTTTTTCTTCATGTCTGATTTCTGTGGCTAAGACTTCCAGTACTATGTTAAATAAGAGTTGTGAAATTGGGCATCACTGTCTTGTTCCTGTTCTTAAGGAAAATGCTTTTAGTTTCTGCCTATTGAGTATGATGTTGGCAGTAGGTCTACATATACGGCCTTTATTATGTTGAGATATGATTCCTGTATTCCGACATTGATGAGTGTTTTTATCAGAAATGGATGCTGGATTTTGTCGAAGGCTTTTCTGGCATCTATTGATATAATCATGTGGTTTTTATTCTTCATTTTATTTATGTGGTGTATCACATTTATTGATTTGTGAATATTGTACCAGCCTTGCATTCCCATGATGAATCCCACTTGGTCATGGTGAATAATTTTTTTGATGGATTGGTGGATTCGATTTGCGAGTATTTTGTTCAGGATTTTGGCATCTATGTTCATCAGGGATATTGGCCTGTAGTTTTCTTTCTTTGTAGTCTTTTTCTGGTTTTGGTATTAGAATTATACTGGCCTCATGAAATGAGTTTGGCAGTCTTTTTTCTTCTTGAATTTTTTGATATAGTTTGAGGAGAATGGGTGTTAGTTCTTCTTTGAATGCTCGATATAACTCCCCCATGAAGCCATCCGGATTTGGGCTTTTGTTTGCTGGAGATTCTTGATTACATCTTCAATTTCCTTAGTTGTTATTGGTCTGTTTCAGTTTTCTATCTCTTCCAGGTCCAGTTTTGGGAGACTATGTGTTTCTAGAAATTTGTCCATTTTGCTTAGATTGTCGAATTTGTTGCCATATAATTGTTCATAGTAGTTGTTAACAATCTTTTGTATTTCTGTAGTGTCAGTTGTTACTTCTCCTCTTTCATTTCTGATTTTGCGTATTTGGGTTCTCTCTCATTGTTTTTTGGTGAGTCTAGCTAAGGATCCATCAATCTTGTTTATCTTTTTGAGATACCAGCTCTTTGTTTCATTGATTCTTTGAATTGTTTTGTTGGTCTCTATGTCATTTATTTCTGCTCTGATCTTTACTATTTTCTTCCTTCTACTTTCTCTGGGGTTTTCTTTCTAGTTCTTTTTTTTTATTTTGTAAGTACATACATAAGTCATTTATTATCATTATCAAGTATTATATAATGTACATAATTATATGTGCTATCCTTTTTTTTTTATCCTCACCCGAGGACATTTTTTGTTCAGATAGAGCAGGAGGGAGAGAGAGGAAGAGAGAGAGATAGAGAGAGAAACATCGATGTGAAGGGACACATCGAGTGGCTGCCACCCGCACGACCAACCAGGGCCGGGGACAAACTGCAACCGAGGTACGTGCCCTTAGCGGGAACCGAACCCGGGTCTCTCTGTACCGCAGGCCGACGCTCCAACCGGTGAGCCAAACTGGCCAGGGCTGTGCTATACTTTTATATGACTGGCAGCAGTGTGTTTACACCAGCATCACCACAAACATGTGAGTTATAATGGTCACTGGGCAATAGTAATTTTCACCTCCATTATAATCTTATGGGACCACTGTCCTAAATGTCATCCACTGTTGACCAAAACATTATTATTTGGTACATGTCTCTACCTGATCAGGAATTCGTATACCAACTATGCAGAGAACTCTTAAAACTCATCAAGTAAACTTGATTCAAAAATGGGCAAAGGACCTGAGTAGACATTTATCCAAACAAACTATGCAAATGGCCAATAAGCAGATGAAAAGATGCAACATGACTAATTATCATGGAAATGCAAATCAAAACTATAATGAGATACCATCTTACTTCCATTAGATGGCTACTATAAATTTTTTTTTAAAAACCCACAGGAAACAAACAAACAAAAAACAAAATATGAAATAACAAGTATGGACCAATTGGAACATTTGTGCACTATTGTTGGGAATGTAAAATGGTGTAACCACTGTTGAAAACAGGACAGCAGTTCCTCAAAAAATAAGAAACATGGCCATCGATTCTAAATGACAGCTTTGCAGGATAGAGTAATCTTGGTTGTAGGTTCTTGCTTTTCATCACTCTGAATATTTCTTGCCACTCCCTTCTGGCCTGCAAAGTTGTCATTTAGAATCGATGGCCATATAAAAACTTTCCCAGACAAGAAAAAGTTAAAGGAGTTCATCACCACCAAACCGTTATTATATGAAATGATGAAGGGTCTTTTTGAAGAAAAAGATAAAATATATGAACAAACAAAATGGCAATGAATACACATCTATCAACAATGGAATCTACAAACAAAATGAACAGGCCGAACAGAAACATTCTCATAGATACAGAGAGCATTTTGTTGGTTGCCAGTTGGGAGGGGGGTTGGGGGAATGGGTGAAAAGGGTGAAGAGATTAAGAAGTACAAATTCATTGCTAGACTGACAAACCTCAAAGGGAAAGGGGTTGGGGGGTGGGAAGAAATAAACCAAAGAACTTATATGCATAACCAATGGACACAGACAGTAGTGTGGGAAAAGGTGGGAGGGGGGCGGGAGTGGGGAGGAGGGGGTCAGTGGGGGAAAAATGTGGAACATCTGTAATACATTTTACATCCAACAATAAAGATTTAAAAAAAATAAGAAACATAATTTCCTTATCGGACAATTCCACTTTTAGATGTACACTCAAAAGAATTAAAAGCAGGATCTCAAGGAGATAATTGTACACCCATAATCATAGCAGTTTCATTCACAATAGCTAAAACATGGAAGCAACCCAAGTGTCCGTCAACAGATGACTGGATAAGCAAAATGTAGTGTATATGTACAAAGTATTATTTACCCTTGAAAAGGAAAGAAATTCTGACATGTTACCGAACCTTGAGGATATTATGCTAAGTGAAATAAGCCAGTCACAAAAAGAGAAATATGTGCCCTGGCCAGGGAGCTCAGCTAGTTGAAGGGTCATCCCATACACCAAAAGGTTGCATGTTTGATTCCCAGTCAGGGCACATACCTGGATTTCAGGTTCAAACCCCAGTCAGGGCGTGCATGAGAAGTGGCTGATTGATGTTTCTCTCTTCCTCCCTACCTTCCTCTCTAAAAATCAATAGAAAATCTGAAAACACATGCACACACACCCTAAAAAAACAGAAAGCACTAAAGAACACTGCAACAACTTCTTCAATTAATTACCCTATTTGAAGTACTTCATACACATTAACAATTCATTAAATGCTGCTTATTATTACGTAGATGCTAATTTTTAAGGCACAGATAGAGGAATTTATCCAAACTTAAAAAAAAATAGGTTGCAATCTCATTATAGAAAAATATGATCCAAAGAAAATAGAACAAATAGGATGGAGCAATCCTTTATTTTTAGACACCTTCACAAAGAGGTTTGCTAGTACATGAACTTTGCAGTAGAGAAGAAGGAACACGAAAATCAGCCCCCAGCCATCGGCGGCTGCTCTGCTCAGGGCCTAGGATCCTCCTTGCCCATGTGGTAGGGTGAAGGTGTGAACTTCCCCTCCTCGATTAGCTTATACCGCTGTCTCAAGATGGCACTCAGACGTTTCATCGTTTTCTGCTGAAGGAGGCACTCTACGAAATCATCATATTCTATTTTGCACTCTTTCTCTGCGTGGATAGCATCAATTCCATGTGAACATTCTATCCATTCTTTTTCAAAAGCATGGCATTGAGAAGGAATCTTGCGAGACTGATCAGCACTTTGGATTGTCATCCAGTGGTCTAAGTCAATGCCTAGCCTTTTCTGTATATCAAAGAAAGGCATGGTGTCCTGCCATGGTGCCCTTGTCCGTTAGCTTGCTGCTTTCCAGTTCTTTAAGTTGTGAGGTTAGATAGTGTATTAAAATTTTTTCTTGCTTCCTGAGGTAGGCCTGTAGTGCTATGAACTTCCCTCTCGGAACTGCTTTCGCTGCATCCCATAGATTTTGTGTTGTTGTGTGTTCATTTTCATTGGTTTCCAGGAAGTTTTTAATTTCTTCCTGGAACTCCTCGGTAACCTATTCATTGTTTAATAACATGCTATTTAGCCTCCATGTGTTCAAATGTCTTTGCATGCTCTTGTGGCAGTTGATTTCTAGTTGCATGCCATTGTGATCTGAGTAGATGCTTGATATTTCAATGTTCCTGAACATTGTAGAGACTTAGTTTGTGCCCTAATATGTGGTCTATCTTTGAGAATGTCCCATGTGCACTTGATAAGAATTCGAATTCTGCAGTTTTGGGGTGTAAATCTCTGTAAATATCTATTAAATCCATTTGGTCTAGTGCTTCATTTAGAGTCTCTGTTCCCTTGCTAATTTTTTGTCTCGAGGATTTATCCAGTGATGTCAGCGGGGTGTTGAAGTCCCCTGGTATGATTGTATTGCTGTTGATTTCTCCTTTGAAGTCCTCCAGAAAATTTTAAATATATTTTGGTGCTCCTATATTGGGTGCATATATGTTTATCAAGGTTATATCTTCCTGTTGGATAGTTCCTTTCAATATTATGTAGTGGCCTTCTTTGTCTCTAGTAATGGCTTTCATTTTGAAATCTACTTTATCAGATATGAGTATTGCTACCCCAGCTTTTTTTCCTTTCCGTTTGCTTGGAAGATTTTTTTCCATCCCTTCACTTTCAACCTATGTGAGTCTCTTGTTGTGAGGTGGGTCTCTTGTAAACAACATATAGATGAGTCATGTTTTCTTATCCAATCAGCTATTCTGTGTCTTTTTATGGGAGCATTCAATCCATTTACATTTAAAGTGATAATTGATGTGTACTTATTTATGGCCATTTTTGTTTAGTGTGGTTCTATTTTTCTTCCCATTTCTTCTACGAATTACAGCAGTTCTTTTAGCATTTCTTGCAATGCTGGTTTGGTGCTAATGTATTCCCTTAGCCTTTTTTTGTCTGGGAAGCTCTTTATTTGACCTTCTATTTTGAATGATAGCCTTGCTGGTTAGAGTAGTCTTGGATTCAGATCCTTGTTTTTCATGACCTTGATTACTTCGTGCCATTCCCTTGTGGCCTGTAGTGTTTCTGTTGAGAAGTCAGCTGAGGGCCGTATGGGGGTTCCTTTGTAGGTAACCTGTTGCTTATCTCTTGCTACCTTTAGGATTCTCTCTTTGTCTTTAATTTTTGGCATTTTAATTACTATGTGTCTTGGTGTGGGCCTGTTTGGGTTCTTCTTCCTTGGGACTCTCTGTGCCTCTTGAACTTGAATGCCTTCTTCCTTCACCAAATTAGGGAAGTTTTCTGTCACTATTGCTTCAAATACATTCTCTAACCCTTGCTCATTTTCTTCTTCTTTGGGGACTCCTATGATGCGAATATTATTATGTTTCTAGTTGTCTCACAGTTCTCTTAAACTGTCTTCCGGTTTTTTAATTGTTTTTGTTTTTTTTTCCTTTTGGTTTTCTGATTGGTTGATTCTTTTCTACCCTGTCTTTTAATTCACTGATCTGGTCCTCAGCTTCCTCTACTCTGCTGTTTAGACCTTCCAATGTGTTCTTTATTTCTGCTATGTCATTCTTCATTTCTTCTTGGTGGTTTTTAAATTCCAATTGGTTGATTTTCAACATTTCTATGTCTTTACCCATGGTGTTGATGTCCCTACTCATGCTGTTGAGCTTTCTCAAGATCATGACTCTGAATTCTAGTTCTGTTATCCTGCTTAACTGCACCTCATTTATCTCATCTTTGTTAGAGGTCTCTTGTTCTTTCATTTGGCATTTGTTTGTTTGCTTCACCATTTTGGCTATCTCAGTGGGCTTTTCCCTGTGGGTGCTGGTGTTCTGCTGTTTGTGGCACCCTCTGCTGGGTTTGGATGAGCGTGGGAGGACCCACGTTAAACACCACTGTTAAGTCTTACTTTCTTGTGTAGAATTGCAAGCCCAGGAATGGTTGTGTTATTCTCTAGCTTTTTGCCTGGAGGGTATTAGTTGCCTTACTTGAAGAGCCTTGGGTTCTCAGTTGAATGAAAAATTCCCTCAGGTGTTCAGTGTAAGGGGTTTTCTGAGGGTGGGGCAGATGCTGGTTGTTGATGAGCTTCAATTTGCATTTCAATGGCCCACCGGGTGGGGTTGAATCTCCAAGGAAGGGGCCACTGCCTCTCCCCAGAGCCCTGAGAAGGAGCAAGATGGCCACTGTCCTGCGTGGCCGCAACTCAGCAAAAGCTCTGAGCACCCTCCAAATCCCAAGTGTCCCCACACAGTTCCAGTCCAGTCCGCCCTCCCTCTGCTGGAGCCCAAGGTGAGTGGCTGTGGCTATTTCAGCACTCTGTCCCGGCTCTCTGCGCTGTCGAGCCACTTGGGAATTTAACCCCGGGGGCGCTGCTCACAACTAAGACCGCTGCTGTCCGTGGGCTCCCAGCCCCCCTCTGGCACCTCCACAATACTACCAGGATCAACTCAGTGTCCCTGGTTATATGGTCTTCGCAAGCTGCTTTTCTGTTGCCTTTTCCCGAAAAGCAGCTTGTCTTTATTTTAGTTGTAATTCCAGTTTGGTCTTGGGAGATGGTCTGTGTAGCTTCCATTCACTCTACTGCCATTTTGGAATTCCATCTCCACTTGTCAGTTGATGGGCACCTGGGTTGCTTCTATATCTTGGCTATTGTCAATAACCCTGCAATGAACATAGAGGTGCATATATTGCTTTGAATTAGTATTTTGTGTTTCTTCAGATATACTATACCCAGAAGTAGAATCACTGGGTCATATGGCAGTTCCATTTTTAATTTTTTAGGAATCTCTGTACTGACATTGTACATCTTAAATATATATAATTTTATTTGTCAATTATACCTCAATCAAGTTTCACTCTCCCCCTTGACCTGGTGTGCCTGCCCTGCCCTCACTCTTTTCATCAGAAAAATTCCTACACATCTTTCACATTTAACTTTTAAATGGTCATATGAACTGATACACTTGTATTAAGTATTTCATCAAAAATACATACATACCATTATATATTTAACATGTTCCATGTCTACTTATAGACTTCCCTTCCCTTTCCCATGAGGAGTATTGGCCTTGAGAAGTAGGAATTTTATTTCTTATAAAGGGTCCCTCTTTTTAAGAACTATTCTTTAGGTCTTCTCACTTTACTTGTTATCACTGACAACTACTTCACAGATCTATTTTTTTTTTTTTATATATTTGACACTTAGCATTCCTTTCAGTTGACATTCATCAAATGTAATAATTACTCTAGAGGAGTTAATTTTCTCTTGGTACTATTGTATTAATAGGAGAGAAATTAAACACTAATTAAGTTTTCACTTTCTGTTTTCTTTTCCATTTGAATTCACAGGTTCCAGCTTCAGTGGGAGCTCCTTTCCCAATGACACCTCAGTCCATGGTTTATACCCAACCAGGATTAGAGACCAGCAATTCTTCCACTCTATCCACAGGAAATAAGGTATATTTGAGCTGTTGTTCTTTAGGGCCTTGATAGGGATGTACAGTCACTGGGGGCAAGCCTAGTGTTAGAACTGAGTTTTACAATATATACATCTTTTTTGCACTATTAGTCTCTCATATAAGAAAAACTAATTCTAACATTTTTGTCATTGTAGAAAGACACAGATCTGTGCAGACCTGGTCCTCTACAAACTTGTGTTGTTAAACCTCAACTGGGTTCTGATTGCTATTCAGCAATCCTTTTATTCATTCATTTAACAAACCTAACTGTAATCAGTACTGACGAGGCAGGTTTCAAGTACAACTTCCCAAAGAAGTGATACCTAAGTTGAATGTTAAGATTTAAAAATAAATAGCAAGTCAATGGAGTAAGGAAAATATATTCCAGACAAACATAAAAACAGATAGGAAAGCACAAAGCACCATAGGAGGTCAAAGGAGGAAATGATTAATTCAGGGATGTAAGGTTTCAGGGCACTGAGTATCAAATGATAAGGAGAATCTCACCTAGTAGATGTTTAGATAGAAGTTTGGTATTACAGGCAGAGAAAACAGCTTGAACATGGAAGTAGAAGGCAGTGGTAATATGGATGAGTGTAGCTGAAACATATGGGAAAGTATCATGATCAAAATGTTCATTAACTCAAGAGTATTGTTTTCTAGAAGTCTTTACACCTTTTTTTTTCCTTTAGTTTTCAGCCAATGTATTGGGCCCACTGGTTCCTAAATATTTGTTTTAAGAAGCCTGACCTCTTAATGAGAAATTTGAGCAGAGTTTTGTGTGCAATAATATTTGTAATTTACTTTATAACTACAAAAATATATAAAGAAATGAAATATTTACCTATTTATCTTATCTTTCTTTCATGTAGGTACAATTCATATAGAAGTACCAAAGCAAGAACATTCGAATTCAGAGGTGAAAAAAAAAAATGATGATCTCTCTACAGCCTGAATGAAATCATACACATCTTCTAAGTAAAATAAACATCCAATACTATTAAGATTCTCCAATTCAATAATTTGGAGGTGGTGCACTCTGTTTCTCTTGTTTTAATATGCTTCAAAATTATCAAAATCTAAAGCTAATATCTTAATCTCCCCTCCAAAATCTAAGTTCCTAAATGTAGGAACTTAGAACACTTTTAATTTGCAAGGTCATTTCTAACTAACTTGTATAGCATGGTAGTCAAATATTTTAGACCTCTGAAATTATAAGTATTAGTATTTATAAAAATAGTTTTTGTTCAGATTTAGCTACATGTTTAGAAATTTTTTGTTTACCATCCCTTCTTGCATTGGAAAAACTTCCCTCTCCCTGAAGCACATCTTTTAGAAGTTCATTTACTTTAGTGATGCTGGTGATAAACTCAGTTTTTGTTTATGTGAAAATATATTTCTTCATACTATTTTAAAAATAAAATTTAAATTGGTGTACCATACATGTTCTAAAAACATTCTTGTATGAGTCTTTTTGTGGACAATTGTGGATATATCTCAGGTAAATATCTAAGAGTAGAATGGCTGGGTCATATAGTAGGTGCTTCTCTCAAATTAAAACTGCCACTCTGAACCTCCTCCCTTTGTGCTGAGCCCTGGGAGGACAGCTGCGGAGAGTGTTTGGAGCACCCTCACAGGACTGGACTTGAGGCTAAACTGCAGATCATTCATTTTGAAAATCCACCTGAAAATAGCCGATTGGTACTGCGAGTGGGGAGCATGGAGAGGGGCCAGGAGAAGATGTGAAGTGGGTGAGTGAATTCACGCAGCTGTGCAACTGTGGTATATTTACACAATGGAATACTATGCTGCTGTAAAATAGAAAGTTCTCTTACCCTTTGAGACATGGAGGGACCTAGGGAGTATTATGCTAAGCAAAAGAAGCCAGTTAGTGAAAGATAAGTATCACATGATCTCACTTATATGTGGAATATAATGAACAAGATAAGCCATCGATCAATATAGATCTAGAGACATGGAGGTAGGGAACAGACTGACAAAACTCAGAGGTAAGAGGGGGTTTGGAAAGAGATAAACCAAAGAACTTATATGAATATATGCATAATCAATGTACATAGACAACAGTGCAGTGAAGGTGGGGGATACGGGCTGGAGCAGGGAAGAGGGTGTCAATGGGGAGAAAAGGAGAGATATGTGTAATAAAAAATAAAAAAAGATATCACCAAACAAAAAACAAAAAGCTCAGTTTCTGGGATCATTGTTCCAATGCACCAGGCTTGTGTGTTTGATCCCCAGTCAGGGCACATATAAGAATCAGCCAGTGAACGCATAACTAAGTGGAACAACAAATTAATGTTTCTCTCTCTCTCTCTCTCTCTCTCTCTCTCTCTCATTAATAACAAATATTTTAAAATATGTTTGTATTGATTTTTTAGAGTGCGAGAAAGGGAGAGAGAAATAGAAACATCGATATGAGAAACATCGATAGGTTGCCTCCTGCACACCCTCCCCCCCTCACTGGGGATTGAGCTCACAACCCAGGCATATGTCATGATTGAGAATCGAATAGGGATCTCTGAGCCCATGGGATGATGCTCATTCCACTGAGCCACACCAGCTGGGCTGAAAAACATTTAAAAATTAAATTAAATTAAATTAAAACTGCTAAAAGTGTTTCAATAACTTGATCGCTTTTCCCCACCAGCAATGTATGAGAATTCTATGTGCTCAAAGTTCTGGTCAACAGTTACTGCTATTATTATTTTAAATTTTGGGAGACCTCCAGTCAAGATGGCAGTGTAAGTAAATGCAGTATCACCTCCTCCCACAACCACATCAAAATTACAACGAAACCACAACACAATCATCATTCAGAACCACCTGAAATCGAGCTGAATGGAAATCCTACAACTACAAAATTAAAAAAGCAGCCACACACCAAGACTGGTAGGAGAGGTGGAGGTACAGACGGGCTGGTCTCATACCCACATGTGGCGGATAAAAATCAGGAGACACCTCAGCTGGGAAGGTCCTCCCTGAGGAGTGAGGGGTCCCCGTCCCACACCAGGCACCCAGCTCAGGGTCCCAGTGACAGGAAGAAAACTCCCCATAACTTCTGGCTGTAAAACGAGCGGGAACTGAGGCTGAGAGAGGATGCGGCTACAGAAGTCCCAGGCAGCTCCTCTTAAAGGGCCCATGCACTAACTTACTCCGACTTGCTCCCTCTGAGCTTGGAGGGGAGGCAGCTTGAGGGGCACCAGAGAACAGGGAAGCACTGAGCTGTTTGGCCTAGGGACAAGGGCTGGAGGGGCAGTTTTCTCCTGGACAGATGTGTTGGTGGAGGCCATTGTTCCTTTGATGAGCCCTTCCCCCACAGAGTAGGCAGATGACCGCCATATCTGGGACTCCAGCAACCTGGCTCACACAGTTGTCCCTGCTCTGGTGATTCCCTGAGGCCCTGCCCCACCCAACTTTCAGGCCCACCCAAGCTGTTTCCAAAGACTTTACCATAGGATTGGCCTGTCTTGGATCCTGCTTCAGAGTTTCCTAAAATCTCTCAAACAAGCAGCATTTGGTCTCAGCAAGCCCCACACCCCTCGTTAAGTGGCCCCAGGCCTGACACTAGAAACAGCCAGCCTTGGTTCACAACTTGGCTTTTCCTGAACACCTCCAAGCCCAGCACAAGAAGCAGCCATCTTCAGATCACTTTGTAGCTTATGCCAGGTGGCCCCAGGTAGAACACAGGCAGTGGCTGACCTTGCCCCAGAGCCAGCACACCCAGTGGAGTTTCAGACCACATCAAAACACCACCACCCAACCACCTCCACAAGTGACACACTCAATGAGTGGACTCAGTGGGTACCAGAGCCCTGATGAAGTAAGTCTTGCTCTGTGTGTTGGGCCCCTATACAGCTGATACTCCAAGGTAGTCAGAGGCCAGTGGCTAGTGGGCATAGACAGTCCTTGCAGCTGATCAGCCTGAGTGAATCCCTCCCACTGATGTGCCAACAGCAATCAAGACTCAAATACAACAGAAGGGGTACACCTTGAGGGCCCAGCTGAGGTGATCAGGGAGACTGTGCCACTGGATCCTACAGGACACCTACAACAGTAGGCCACCCTACAAAGCCTAGGAGACATAACAACTCTGCCTAATACATAGAAACAATCATGGGGAAGCAGCCAAACTTAGGAGACAAAGAAACATTTCCCAAATGAAAAAAAAGAACAAAACTCCAGGAAAAGAACTAAACAAAATGGAGATAAGCAATCAATCAGATGCCAAGTTTAAAATACAGGTAATAAGGTTGCTCAAGGAACTTGGTGAGACATTCAAGGGACTAAGTGACACCTTCAAGGAACTTAAGGAGACCTCTGAGGAACTTAGAACATCAACAACATAAAAAAGGACCAGACAGAAATTAAGGATGCACTAACTGAAATAAAGAATAATTTACAGGGAATCAATAGTAGAGTAGATAAAGCCAAGAAGCAAACCATCGATTTGGAATATAAGGAAGCAGAAAACACCCAACCATAACAGTAAAAAAAAAAAAAAATCCAAAAAAATGAGTATAGCGTAGGAGCCTCTGGGACAACTTCAAGCGTGCCAACATTTGCATCATAGGGGTGCCAGAAGAAGAAGAGCGAGAACAAGAAATTGAAAAGCTATTTGAAACAATAATGGCAGAAAACTTCCCTAACTTGGTGAAGGAAACAGACATAAAAGTCCAAGAAGCACAGAGAATCCCAAACAAGATGAACCCAAAGAGGTCCATACCAAGACACATCATTATCAAAATGCCAAAGGTTAAACACAAAGAGAGAATCTTAAAAGCAGTGAGAGAAAAGCAGTCCATTACCTACAAAGGAGCTCCCATAAGACTGTTAGTTGATTTCTCAAAAGACACTTTGCAGGCCAGAAAGAAGTGGCAAGAGATATTCAAGGTAATGAAAAGCAATGACCTACAACCAAGATTACTCTATCCTGCAAAGCTATCATTTAGAATCAATGGACATATCTCAAGTTTCCCAGAC